CGGTGGGGCTAACAACCTCTCACTCCAGAAATTTAGAATATAACGAAAAAATACACGGAATCTCGAATTTGAATGGATTATTTGACACGATATAAGGAATTAAAATTTTAAAAAAATAAAATATGTGAAGTGGATTCATCTGGCTTAGGATAGGTTTAAATGGCGGGCACACGGTAATGAAACTTTTGGTTTCAAATTCCTGTCAAACATACAAATAATCATGTGTGTAAGCGGAGGTTATCAGTTCAGCTTATCAGCTCGTAACCTAGAATCCTCAGAAATAAATAAATAAATAAATAAGCACCAGATCGAAGTGATCTTTTATTTTACGAGCTGTACTTTGCCCATCCCTGGACTAGATAATATCTATTCACTGGAGATAGAAACACAGCCGAGTATTGTTTCAACATTAAAATACCCCACAGAAAGTTCATTGTTTGCAGACAAGCATCCACATACGTAACGTTTCTAAATAAAATGCAAACTCGAACTGTAATATCGGAAATGTGGGAGGACAATTAGCTTCTGGATGAAGTTTGGGTTAATAAAATTGAAGTTAAAGAAAGAGATATTAAGATTCTGGTAATTCCCGGTTTTGGTTATGACACATGAAATACGAAATCGTGTAAATGTCTGAACCACGAGTAGAATGTAGAATTATGTGTTGAACGAGTTGAGCCCGTAGCCCGTATATGAGGCCAGTTGTTGCAAGGCAGACCGTAGAGATAGAGAAAGCCGACAGAACCGTGGAGCCCAACAGCTGAGTGAAGAGAGAGGATAGAAGAGTTCTTCCAACAGCGACTTCAGTGCGAGAATGAACGCCAATAGAACAGGTTCGAGAGAAGCTTAGCGAGGAGTGCTTCAATACTTCTGCGCTGAAGAACATCTGTCACAAGTTTTACAACAGTTTATACGTATCATTAAGTTTCAATCGCGTACATCTCTTCAAAAATATGTTTGCGGAAGCAAGGTGACTGTGGTTTTCAAACAAAAGAAGAGTTAAGACCGCTTTACAATCATAACTGAATTCAACATGAGTTTTAAAGTAGTTTAAATGTTAATCGTAAACACTTCTAACGCGACAGTGCGAAACTGCGATGTAAATACACCGAAATTTCATGCTGAATGAAAGTTAAATAGTTCTGAAGTGTCTGTTTAATAGTTTTAGTGGCAGAGATCGTGAAATAACTAACATTCACATTTGTAGTAAAATTTTACGGAACGCTATTAACAAAATTTATTACGGAAAGTGAATTGCAGAAAGTGAGGATATCTATACCCAGTAATCATCGTGTCGCCATTTGCAAAATAAATTATGAATATAAAAAGTTGAAATGATGCGATGAAAAGACGGAAAAAAACATTTTTCTCGCTCGTAAACATTCAAAAATATTTCATTTGAGGATTTTAATTACTTTGGATAACTCAGCAATGAAACGAAGACACACATGTAGGCGAATGTGTTTCGTCATTCACATGCAGTGTCCTTTCCTTGCTAATGTTGTGAAGTGTGGTGAGTGAAGAAGTGACCCTAACTTCTAAGATGGCGTCCAGTGTTGTGACGGATGTGATTGGTTACGAGCTCTACCGCTGGACGTTAATGAAGGCGCTAGTGGGCCTGTTGCTTCTTCTGATGTGTGTTGCAGGTAGGTTGCGAAGCTGCTGAGAGGTCTTCAACCCTTCCTTTATGACTGAGGTTTTATTGCAAAGACGTACATAAGAAATAAAATAATTAGGGTGAGTCAGGCTAACCGGTAATATAAGAGAAATTCTTGAGTTGCAGCCATTGCAGAGAGAATTCGAAGATATTCCTGACCGCGACCTCGATAGGTAACACGTGTGTATGTGAAGGTACTAGATACTTCACTGCGCAGATTGCGTTGAGCAGAAGTCTCTCAGATGGCCAACAAATTGTCTGCCCTCTATCAAACCCGAATGTTTATTACCGTATTCAGAAGAGCATAAACACTGAGGGGGCTAAACTTGATGTCACATAATAGGAAAGAAAATAACTTTTTCATCAACGTGTCCATAAGTTGGACAACGATAGGATACCATTAAATACAACCCTGCAGATTCTTCATCCTATTTCAGTCTTACAATACCAGAAAAATTTACCTGACAAATTTCTTGCTGAATTCTGAATAATTTAAGGCAAGGCTGGAGACATAGTGCAATAATAATTCAGTCAATCGCCTATACAGCCTCCTTCCGTCCTCCATCAGTCCTGGCGTAAAAGCCGGATGGCGGTAAATTTAGTTTTCTATATTTTTAATGTACGTATTCCTGTTTATTAATGCATTAAAATACCATATTTTGTGTGAAATGCTGTTCACAGGATTGTAACAGCTTCTCCGTGCTATAATCTTAGTTTCTGTAGCAAAATACGTCCACATGCCAAGTTTTGTATACAAGCTTCGTCACACTGCCCTCTTCTCCCTTCACACAGATGCAACTTATTTTACTCGTAGGCGCCTGCATCTGTCA